ATGAAAAGCCCTGCCTGTTTCAGGGCCTTTGGCCACACCCTGCTGTTTTTGGCTAATGGTGGGAGCTGAATGCAGGCCGTGGCACCCCTCCTGGCTAACTGGTAATGTCCTGGGAAGCAAAAAATAAAAAAGCTCAGATTTCCCCTTTGAGGCAAAGCCCCGTCTGTTTTGGTGCTTATGGTTACGCCCTGACATTTTTAGCTAATGGCAGGAGTTGAGTGCAGACTGTTGGACCTCTCTTGGCCGGTAAGGTGCAGGGGGAGTGGAAAGTGCAGATTTCTGCTCTGTAGCAAGCCCTGAGCAAAGCCCAGGGGAATAAAGCTCTAGGCACCCTGTTCACAGCGGAGACTGTTCTATTTCAGTAGCAGAGGCAAACTCTGTCTAAGGCTGATGCCTTAGAGGCTGATGCCTTCTCTGGCTGCCACTCCCTGCTTGGCTCCTCTATCAGGTAATTGCTGCTCAAGGCTAGAGCACTGCAGCCCGGCCTCTAGCTGTGTCAGTGAACTTGGTGTTCCCAGGGGCTGGGGCCTGACCAGTGGTAGCAAGAAGGCTGAGTCTTATCCTTCACACTGGTCTCATCCCCATGGGTCTTCAGCGATCCTGCTCCCCTCTACACAATCAACCCGCTGGCCTTTGTTTTCCTTCTAGGGTTTTCAGATGTTTCTGCTTTCCCAGTTGCTTTCAGTTTTTTTTTTCTTTTTCCTCCTTTTCTTAACGTGGTCAAGGTGTTCTGGGATTTTCGGTGGGAGACAGTGGTCAGGGTCCGATGGAAATCCCTGCTTCTACTTCAGTTGTTTTCACCTTCCTCCTGTTTCCCCTGGGAATCATCAATCCTGCTCCTATAATCTAAGTTTTGGCTGGCGTTTACTGTAGTTTGTCCTCTATTTACTATATCCAAGAGAGAGCTTAATCTCAGGAACTCTTAGTAGCCATGTTGGTGACATCCATTTTTCATTGTTTTATATATTTTGTTCTTTTTCTACTTTTTTCTTTCTGCTCTTTCATTGGAATGACTTTCCCTAATGATTCTCTCAGCCTGCTCAGTTCTTCTTCCATGTACCTCTATTCTGGGCTTTGGGTTAGTGCTTACTATGTGATTTTTTTTTAAACTTTATATACTTTAAAAAGACCTTTTGGGGGCCCTCCTTGGTGGCACAATGGGTTAAAGCACAGTACTTATGAAGCTATTGCAGCCACTGCAGCATGAGTTCAATCCCAGGCCCCAGAGGTGACCCACATGGCGCGACAGACCTCTCCTGACCCGCCTGCTGCTCCCCTCAGCAGTGTACTTCATTAATCTGCTGTTCTGACCCCCACTCTGTCTCTGGTGAATCCTCTCACCCCCATACCCTGCACCTCTGCCTTGTACCCCAGTTCTGTATACATAAATAAATAAATCTTTTTTTATGATTTATTTATTTATACAGAACTGGGGTACAGGCCAGAGGTGCAGGGTATGGGGGTGAGAGAATTCACCAGGGACAGAGTGGGGAGCAGAACAGGCAGATTGAGGAAGTCCACTGCTGAGGGGAGCAGCGGGCGGGTCAGGAGAGGTCTGCCGCGCCATGTGGATCTCCTCCAGGGCTGGCGGGATCGAACTCATGCAGAAGTGGCTTCAGCTTCTTACTGTGGTGCTTTAATCCGCTGTACCACCAGGGAGGGCCCCAATAAATAAATCTTTTAAAAAAATAGTCCTTTATGGACTGATGTCAACTCTCTGACATTTAACTATACACAGGTTCTACCCTTTTCCCCCTTCCCTTTAGTGCTTTGTTGTTGACTCATAGTATTCTGATTTATGCTATTTTTAAATTTCTATTGTCAGCTTGCTCAGGGTGTTCTGTCTTGTTTCCTTCTTTTCATGTGGATGAATCAACATTTCTTGTGTGGCAGTTCTGGTGATGATAAACTGCATTAGCTTCTGTTTGGGAAAGACTATATTTTACCTTCATGTTTGAATGATAATTTTGCAGGGTATTCCTGGCTAGCAATTCTTATTTTTTAGGATTATGAATATTTCATTTCACTCTTCTTGCCTAGAGAGTGGCTGGAGTAAAATTTAAAGAAAGCCTAGTTTGGGTGCCTTTGTATATTACGTATTTTGACTACTGTAAAAGTTTTTCTTTATCTTTGATTTTTGATAATTTAAGAATGATTTGTGTGGGCATAAGTCTTTTTGCATTTAGAAATTTGTGGGGTTTTTTCTGCTTCTGATATATTCATGTTTTTTTTCTTTGTTAGTTTCAGTTAATTCTCATCTGTTATTTATTTTTTAAAAATTGTTTATTTATGCATACAAGAACTGGGGTACAGGCCAGAAGTGTGGGAGGTGAGAGGATTCACCAGAGACAGAGTAGGGAACAAATAAGCAGATCGACTGAAATACACTGCTGAGGGGAGCAGCGGTTGAGTCAGGAGAGGTCTGCCGCGCCATGTGGTCAGCTCCCTGGCCTGGGATTCAACTCGTGCTGCAGCGGCTTCTGCAGCGGCTTCCGGAGCTTCACAGTGCTGGCTTTAAACAGTTACGCCTCCAGGGAGAGCCCTCTTATCTTTTGATTCTTTGAAAAAGTATTTCTGTTCCTTTCTCTCTTTTCACCCTCTAGAATATCCATTATATTTCTGTTTCTTCTTCTAATTGAGTCTGATATTTGTCATATTGTCTTCACTTTCCCTAAATCTTTTAATTTTTCCAGTTAGGAGATTGGTACATTTGAGCGTTATACTTCTGAAATGTTCTCTGTTGTCAGTTTAATTCTACTTATCTTCATTACTTTCAGTCCTGTCTTTGTGTTATTTGAATATTTTCAATCTCTTTGGCAATCTCTTTCCTTTGTGGACCTCCTTTTCCTCCTTTCTATAATCTTGTACCTTCCTATTTGTCTTTGACCTTTAAATACCTCATTTAGCATTTTATTGTTATTTTAAAGCACAGAGACTGAAATGATAGCCTCTATTTCTGTATCCTTTAATGTCTGAACTTCCATTCTCTTTCTGCTTTTCCATCTTGTTTTCAGATGTTCCTTGGTTCCTAGACTTGTGTTGCCTATTTGCTTTTTTTGTACTTGGATTACTCTGGGCTTAGTGTTCTTCATCTTTACTTTTCTTGGTGTAAATTGGTGACAAGAGGAAAGTCTGTGTCTTAAATACTCAGTGACTGTCAGTGGAATGAGGGAGGTCACCTCTGCTACTCTTCTAAGCAAGCTCCATTCAATGCTTCAGTTATCCCAACTTCTCATGCCACCTCCTTGCTGCTCCATATTGTGGCATGGGTCTAGGCTATAAGTGCTGTGTACATTTGATTCTTTACACTTCCTCATGTCTTATTTCTTTACCTGTTGGACTTGAACCAAGTTCAGCAGAGTTTCACCTGAAATTTCTTTGTTCTCCCTCCATTAGCAGGGATTGGATAATCTTTTCTTGCCTGCACTGGCAATGAAACTCCCAGTGACTCCCACCATTCCTACACCTGCATTTGACTACACTTCTTGCTGCAAAGTCTCTCAGGTGAAATTCACTGCACCCCATATATCTATGCCTGGCTGACTACCAGCCTGTTTCTCAGCTGGGGTATCTCATTTCCTGGCCATAATCTCCTTTGCAGCAGGTCACCAACATTAGTGCAACTAATTCATAGGAAAGTGCTGCTACGAAAATTCTAAGTCTTCCTTTGAGCAAAAACTTTTTATGCTTGTAATTATGGGAGAAAGTGATTCCAATCTCTCTTATGTCATGGAATGGATTGATACCTAAATCTAACCATTAGAGTGTACACATATCCTCTACAAATCCACCCCGTCATGGAAAATATCTGTGTGTGTGTGTGTGTGTATGTGTGTGTGTATATATATATGTATATATGTATATATATGTATGTATGTATGTATTTGTATAAAATATTTTCCATGTTTATATGGATGTATATACATAGATTCATATACAAAATAAGTAGATATTAATGTGTGTAAGGATGTCATAGCCATATAACTGAATATAGTCTATAAATAATATATATGAATTTATGCACAGGTATGTGAGAAAGACATCTACAGATGTTAAACAATTTTTATTTATAAAATCTTTATGTGGATATAGCTATCTTAAACTGCCCCAACCTGGTGATTTGGAATGTTAAATATTTTTTTTTTTTTAAGATTTATTTTATTTGTACATACAGAACTGGGGTACAGGCCAGAGGCTCAGGGGCGGCGAGAGGCTTCACCAGAGACAGAGTGGGGAGCAGAATAGGCAGATCGACGAAGTACACTGCTGAGGGGAGCAGCGGGCGGGTCAGGAGAGGTCTGCCGCGCCATGTGGTCACCTCCGGGGCAGGCGGGAATCGAACTCATGCGGAAGTGGCTTTAGCTTCTCAGTGCAGTGCTTTAACCTGCTGCGCCACCAGGGAGGGCCGGAATGTTAAATATTTTTATTAGGACTCCTCTATATTATTAATTTTATTTTACAGCATGTGTCCTAAATGTGTACTTAGCAATAGTAGCATCGGCCTGAAGAATTCTGATAGTGGTTGCACTTTTTTATTGAGATTTATTTATTTATGCATACAGAACTGGGGTACAGATCAGAGGTGCAGGGGCAGTGAGAGGATTCACCAGAGACAGAGTGGGGAGCAGAACAGGCTGACTGATGAAGAACACTGTTGAGGGGAGCAGCGGGCGGGTCAGAAGAAGTCCGCCTCACCATGTGGATCACCTCCCGGCCTGGGGCCAGGGGATCACACTCATGCTGAAGTGGCTTTAGCTTCTTAGTGTTGTGCTTTAACCCGCTGCGCCACCAGGGAGGGCTCTAGTGGTTGCAATTTTAAACCTGATCTGAAGTCATTTCTGCATCCTCATTTATGAAGTAATATACATACTAAAATAATTCCATTGAGGAAAGCATACAAGCTCCTGTTTAAAATATTCTGAGATAATTATGTCTCAGATTTTGCTGTGATAGCGTAGATCTGTTATATGCTGATGAATGTGTTGGACTTCTTGATTCAGATTTTTAAAGAGAGAGAAGAAGATCTGAGGCGTTTGTCTCGCCCATTGGAATGTTCTTGTTTCCGAACATCTATCTGGGATGAAACGCTCTATAAGGTGTGTATATGTCCCTGAATTTCCTTATTTTAAGAGCATGATAAAAGCTAGAAGGGCATTATCAAAACTAAAAGGTTTTTAAGTCTTTCTTAGCCAGCTATATGTATTGAACTAAAAAAGAATCTACAATAAACTGTTTGGAAAATATCAGACTTAACCTTAAGAGATTTTGGTTTTGATCTTAGATTGTGTCGACATACCTACCAAATCACACTGAATTAGCCAGTTTGGTCATGATTAACTTGATACTGATCTTCGTGACAACAGAGGTTTCACTGGCCATCCTCTATTTTGACCTGTTGTGATCTCAATGCTGATTGGAGCTGTGTCTAATATTCAGGTACCTCTACAGGATATAAACTAGTCTACTAGAAGAACAATATTTAGGGGAGAGATTGGAAAAGGGAATCTTAGAATGAGGCATTCTATGCCTAGAGTATGTAAGCATCAACTTTTTTTTTTTTTTTTTTTTTTTTTTGCCAATTTGGAGACTAGTTTTCTTTCAATCAAAAGGATCGTTCCCATTGCTGGAATGGATACCAGACTGCTTGCAGTAACTGTAAAGGTTGCAACAATAGCTGTGTTATGGATGAAGCTGAAATTACATTATGGGCACATAGACTTCCTTATCCTGCTTCCTCCCTTTCTTCTAGTGATTTGAAAGATGGCTCCTTTTATATCCTCCTGTGGTCAGAACTTTCCTTCAGACTGCTTCTGTTATCCAATGACAAGTTTGACTCTGGGTGGGAAAGCATCCTTCTCTGTCACTGGTAGCTACAGCTTCAATATCAACTGCATCTGACAACTATCTTCAACCAGAAGCACAGAAAACTGCTTTTCCAAGGAGAAAAACTGCTGGACTTTTAAAAGAGCTATTGTTTTTTTTTTTAACTAATTCATTTTTCCCCCAATATTATGTCAACCCAGCCTCACTCTAATGACAGATAATCTAATTTTGAGATACCTATGTAGGAGGTACTATCCTAGATTCATTTGGGCTGGATTTCTCTCAAAGCCTCATTCCCATAGAACAGGTAACCGTGAATAAGGATGGACATGTCTCACTAAGAAACAACTGTGGTGTGAAGGATGGTAATACACAGTACGACCAAAGACAATTGGCTAAACACTGCTGTGAGTGACAATGTCTCTGCTGTGGTTAACTTTGGTGCCTTCTCCAAGATAAATTCAGCAGTGACATTTATACAGACCTGGAAATTTGGAACTAGAAGCTCCATACCTATATAATAGCAGTAGTTGGAACACATACACAGCTTAAATTTTTAATTACCTTTTAATCTGAAAGAACTCATTTCATACCTGCTTGGTGCTATTCTACACAGAAATAAGACCAAGTTCCTGCCCTCTAGCAAGGGAGAAAAGAACATTGTACAACATAGCAGACAAATTGGAGTGAGATTGAAGGAGCTATTATAATGGAAATTAAAATTAAAGAGCCTTACAATTATATAGGGGGTGTGTGGTTAAGTTCAACTCTTTATATTGGTTACACTCCTCTGGATGAAGTCAGTTTTAGGCAAACACAGTAGACCATTTTAAAATACATTTGATCCATAATCTATATGGCTGACAAAAAGCTTTTTGGATTCATAATGCCACTAATTTCTCTTGTATGTTCGTCCATGGAGAAGAGTGGCCATTTGTCCATGAGTTATATTTTCATTAAGTTGATTCTTGGATGCGTGTTAAATATAACATTACTAGGTTCTAATCTCTTGTACATGGTTGGATTTAAATATTTGTCCATATTTGAAAGACTGGGTAGGAGCTTTTTAACCCAGTTGTTCAGTTTTCAATTTTTTCTAAGGCAACTTGGTGGAATTAAATTATTTGTATTTCATTATCAATGGAAAGAAATTTCTCCAGCATTTTGCAAATGTGTTTGAAACTTTAAAAAATCCAACTGAAGGAAAAAAAAATCAAATGTTACCTTCATTTTGTCATGATATTTATTTGTGTTATATTTGTTACCAGTATTTGTGTAGGACTGAATTATCACCATATTTTGCTATCTGTACACTGTACTTAATCATTTGTAAATGTCTGGGACTGGCTGCCTGTTAGTAATATTGTTCTATGCTTGTATTCTGTTAGGCTTGGTCCAGCATTGTTTATCAGCTAATTCCCAACGTTCAGCAGCTGGAAATGAACCTAAGGAATTTTGCTGAAATTATTGAGGCTGATGAAGTTCTTCTATTTGAGAGAGCTACTTTTCTGGTGAGAATCTTCTACTCTGTAGAGTACCATCTTCTACTTAGCAACAGAGAACATATTACCACTTCCAGGAAGAATCTCTTTTCTTCTTGTCCTTACTGCACATGCCTAGCCTTATTATAAAATAGTACAGTCATGCATTGCTTAATGATGGGGATATATTCTAGTAAATGTGTCGTTAGGTGATTTCACTATTGTGCAAAAGTCATAAAATGTACACAAACTAAGATGGTATAGCCTATTACATACCTGGGCTATAAATAGGACCAGTGTCCTCCATCAGTGTGGTCCATCATTGACTGAAACATTGTGCCATACATGATTGGATTGTTACTAATACCCTGAAAGAAGACCTTCAGCATATAGTGTCTTAGGTGTTAGAATTTTATAGGTATGTCTTATAGAGTTTAGATTATTTCATTTTGGCTAATAATCTTTTTTTTGTTAAAGGATTTCTCTTTATTCTGAACATTTATTATGAAATGAAGGATACTTTCCTTTTGAGAAAACTGGATTCCCAGTCCTTTCTATAAAAATGGCTTAAAATAATTTTATATCAAGTTTTATTTAGGTAGCAATGGCTTATAACATTATGTAAATTTCAAGTGTCCAGCTTTATGATTCAATATTTGTATACACATTATAATAATCACCAAAAGCCTAGTTTGCATTACAAGAGATGCAGTAATTAAATCAGTGGAAATACTGAGCACAGATGAACAGGCGAGGGATGTTAGCATTTTTTATTTTACTTATAAATCCAATTTAACAACTTTATTAGAAGGTCATACAATCATGGAGGGGGTACAAAAACCAATTATTATAGTAAAAATTTTAAATAGCAGTAATAAAAATTAATTTGAGATGTCAAAAGCACTGCTGATTACCCTAGAAAATGTATTTCTAAGAGCTGTTCACTGTAAATAATTTGTTTTCTGAATTCTACCAATGCTTGGTGATTTTAGACTTATTTCTTTTTTAATTTTTTTCTTTTTCTTTTAATTTTGGAATTGCATTTTTGCTCTTCCATATGTTTCATGTTCTATTCACCCTCCACCAAATGAGCTATTCCAACATCTCTTTACCTCCTTTCCCTACTCCTTTCTCCTTCATACCCATTCAGTTTCTCCATTAAATCCAATATTTAAAGGTGGTATTTTGCCTGTATATATATCCTACATATGAGTATATATATCCTACATATGTATCCTACATATCCTACATATCCTACATATCCTACATATCCTACATATGAGTTAAACCACCTGATATCTGTCTTTCCTTTTCAGGCTTATTCACTTAGCAATTACCTTGAGGTCTGCCCTTTTTGCCCCAAAAATCTGTTTCATATTCTTCACCACTGTGTAGTATTTCATTGACCATATATTCCACAAAATTTTTATCTATTCTTCTGTGTAAATATACTTAAATTGATTCAATGGCTTGGCAATTGTCGACAGTGATGCTATGTACATTGGCATACATGAGTCTTTTCATATAGAATTTTCACTTTTTTTAGGGTAAATACCTAATCTCTACTAGGTATTGCTGCATAATATGGAATTTCCATTTTTAAGAAATCTCCCTACTGTTTTCCAACGAGGTTGCACTAAATTGTATCAATACCAATAGTGAATAATAATAGTGAATAATAATAAGAGTTTTTAACCACATCCTCACCAATATTGTTCATTTTATTCTTTTTGATATGGGCCTTTTTCACAGGAATGAGGTGATATCTCCTTGTGATTTTCATTTGCATTTCCCTTACAATAAGTGATACTGAACTTTTTTTTTTTAAGATTTACTTTATTTATGCATATAGAACTGGAGTATAGGCCAGAGGTGCAGGAGCAGTGAGAGGATTCACCAGAGACAGAGTGGGGAGCAGCACAGGCAGATCGATGAAGTACACTGTTGATGGGAGCAGCGGGCGGGCAGGAGAGGTCTGGCGCTCCATGTGGATCACCTCTGGGGCGGGGATTGAACTCATGGTGGAGTGGCTTTAGCTTCTTAGTGCTGTGCTTTAACCTGCTGCACCACCAGGGAGGGCCAGATATTGAACATTTTTTGATGGCTATCATTCCTCAATGCCTGAAGTTGGTTCTCCTTCTATATAAATTGAAGATAATATCTATGCCATAGGTTTATTGTGTAGGTTAAAGTATAATGAGATAACAATATGCCTTAGCAAAAAAGTATGTAGTTGACAAACTATTAAATGTTGGTTGCTTTTGCTATTATAACAATGGAAAACAGAGAATGCAAAGTGTAGTTTTTCCCCCTTCTTTTGTAGAAACATTGTTACCGTAGCTGCATTTGTGAACTATCCTTCCTGCTAGCTGGTACAGCTGAGTCAAGGAGTGCAGACAAGAGCATGTTTCTGCTTCAGCCCACTGCCAGAGGTCATTTGCTTTGAATTATGCTGTACTAAGGCCTGTTTTTTCCTGCTAATATGAATAGTAACAAGCAAGTGAGCTAGTCTGTCTTCATATAAATGGCATGGAAGAATCCTCCTTCAGCAGTGTTCTTCTGGTAGTACCCATCACACATGATCATAGAGGTCAATCTAACATAAATAAGCTCCCTGCTCTTCACTAACTCTAACAGGTGGCTTTAGTGTATTTTGAAGACTATGGTTAGGTGTTATTGACTATTTTCACTGAGAGTATTGAAGTCAAGGAAAGGGAACTTTTTCTTCCATTTGTCTAAGAATTATATTTTGAAAGTTTCACATGCTTTCATCAAACTGCCCTGCATATTTTCTTCTGGTGAGTAATTCAGTTTTGATTCCTATTAGAAATTTACATCTATGTAGTCAGCCTGGAGGAAATACTTGTATGTTATTACTGAAATCTGAAAATGTTACATGACCTATTTTTTACTTGGTGTGCGTGTTTGTCATGAAAACATTTACTTAAAAATTCACTACATTTAGTAGACTTCAAGGACATTCTTTTCTTTCTATTTGATTTATACATTTTTTAAATAACAAACCATCCCATGAAATACTGAAATAAGATTAACATTTAATGGCTGAAATGAAGAATAATAGCTATAAAACAAAGTAGATAATACTTTAATGACCTAATAAAATTACAGAAATGGTACTGGGCGAGTCCCAATCCATAGAGATATTGAAATCACGCACAATGATGGTAGGATATAGGATAGGATAGAATCAGTTACCAAATCTACGCCGAAGAATAGAGTAGAGATTGGCATGCACATATCTTGAGTAATAGCAGAAATGATATGACTATATTACATGAAATTAAAGGGTATTGATGCTCTTTGTAGGTGATTTCTCATTATCAGTGTAAAGAACAGCGTGATGCCCACAGATTTGAGAAAATCAGCAACATTATTAAGCAATTTAAGCTAAGCTGCAGGTAAGAGATCTTGTGTTATCTATTTATCTCCAGAAAAATATATTGCCATTTTTGAGAGTTTCGAAACTAGTTGGCTATACTTCTGCAGGCTTGTATTATTTAGCAATGGTGATATGTTCTGAGAAATGCACCTATAGATAATTTTATCATTGCACACATATAATAGAGTGTTATTAAACAAACCTAAATAGTATGGTCCACTACTAACCTAGGCTATATGGTAAAGGCTTTTAGGAACAACCATGACATATGTGATCTGTCATTGGTGGAGACACTGTTAAGCAATACACATATTTAAAAGGTCTCTTCATTCAAAAGGAAAACTAAACTGTAAGAGAACTTACAGTTGACTGGGGTGAAAGTCATTGCCCTTTAATGCAAATTCAACTGATAATAAAAATGCATATAAAATTGTAAAAAGAACACCCTTTTAGGATGTTTAATACTATTTGGGAACAAATAAGTAAAAGATATCCATAGGAGTTTTAAAAAGGAGACTTTGTCCTACGAAATAAAAAAATTACTATAAATGTGCAGCATTTAAAATAATGAGAACCTGACTCAGGTATTGTATAACATAGAGAGTGTAGAGATGCTGAACTATGTTGTCTCAGCTTTGATTAAATACAATTTGAATTTCAGCATTGTGAATATAGATGACTCAGCATTATAGTTTAATAAAGATTCAATAATCAAATTCTTACCCTACTAACACTTTGATATCTATACAATAGACTAGTCATTTTTTTTTTTTGCTTTCGCACAATTTGAGATTTTATGACATGTTTATGCTAACATTTTAAGGTATAGCAAATGTCATGTATGTTGCCTTAAATATTTTAGAAGTATTGGAATCATTTTTTGAATTTCAATATAATATTGAAAAGACCTAGTTACTAGTCTGAAAAATAGGAAAGTTTTAACTAGCTTCTTAAATACTAGATAAATCAAATACTAGATATGTATTATTATGGTTTTTTACATCATTAATCATTTTGTGCATTTTTTCATTTTGGTTATAATCCTCGTGTGCTTCCCACCACCAATTCACCCATGTGCCAACACAATAATCCCATGCTCTCTTTCCTCCCCAGTTTTGATCCTATTCCCCTCTCCATCCCTATAGAATGTTTCTGGTTTGTAGTTGTCCAGTGATTTTGTTTTTATTTTATTATAATTGCATTTTCCCCTGATCTCCTATGAGTGAAACCATTCAGTACTTTACTTTTTCTTTCTGGCTTATTTCACTAAGCTTGATCCCTTCCAGCTCCATCCCTGTTGCTGAAAACAAGACATGAGTTTATCCTTTTTTGATCGCTGAGTAATATTCCATTGTGTATTTGTACCACATCTTCTTGATACAGTCATCTATTTGGGGGCATCTATTTTTGGGTTGATTCCACTTCTTCCCTATTATAAAAAGAGCAGCAATAAATGTAGGGGTGCAGTTGTCCTTCTGAATTAGTGTTTTTGTGTCCTTTGGGTAGATACCTAGGAGTGGAATTACTGGATCCTATGGAAGCTCCATTGTTGGCAGCTTGAAAAGCCTCCAAACAGCCTCCCATAGTGGTTGGACCAGTTTGCGTTCCCACCAGCAGTTTAGGAGAGTTTTTTTTTTTTTTTTCTCCACATCCTTGACAACATTTGTTGTTGTTAGTTTTTATAATATGATCCATTCTCACTGATGTGAGGTGGTATCTATCTCATTGTGGTTTTAATTTGCATCTCCATTATTACAAGTGATGCTGAACATTTTTTCATATGTCTCTTGGCCGTCTGCATTTCCTTTGGAGAAGTGTCTTTTTAGCTCTTCTGCCACTTTTTCATAGGATTGTTCACTTAATTTTTGTTGAATTTCATTAGCTTTGTATATCTTTTTGATCAGTCATTTATCATTACTATTGTGTGCAAAATTTTTACTCTAATCAGTGGGGTACCTCTTTGTTTTGTGTAATATCTTTCTTCTACTGTACCGAAAATCTGTAATTTGATGTTGTTCCAACTGTTTATCCTTTCATTCACTCTCCTTGATTTGGGTGATGTATCTTTAAAGATGTTAGAGAGGTGTATGTCATGTAGTGTTTTGCCATATTTCCTTCTAGATATTTTATGTTTACGGATCTTATGTCTAGTTCTTTAACCCATTTTGAGTTGTTTTTTTGTGTATGGTGTGAGGTAGTAATCCAGCTTCATTGATTTGCACATAGCAGCCCAGTTTCCGAGCACCATTTGTTGAACAAACTTTCTTTGTTCCGTTGAATATTCTTTGCTCCTTTGTCAAAGATCAGCTGTCCATTAAAATGTAGGTTTATATCTGGGTTTTCTGTCCAATTCCATTGGTCTGTATGTCTGTTCTTGTTTCTGTACCATGCAGCTTTGTAGTATAGTTTGAAGTCTGAGAGTGTGATGCCTCCATTAGCTTTTGTTTCAGTCAAGAGAGTTTTGGCTATTTGATGTTTTGTTTGTTTGTTTGTTTTTGTGGTTCTATATAATCTAATCAATATTTGTCCTATTTCTTTGAAGAATGTCATTGAGATTTTTATTGGAATAGTGTTAAATTTGTAAATTGCTTTTGCAGGATGGCCATTTTAACTATGTTAATTCCTCTGATTCATGAACAGGGGGCGTCTTTCCATTTCTTTGTGTTTTCTTGTATTTCTTTAAATAGTGTTTTATAATTTTCTTTGTATAGGTCTTTTACCTCTTTTGTTAGGTTTATTCCCAAATATTTGATTTTTTTGTTTGTTTGTTTTAATTGTAGAGGGGATTTTTTTTAATTTCCACTTCTTGTCATTTTTTTTTTTTTATGTATAGGAAGGCTACTGACTTGTGTGTTGATTTTATATGCTGCTACTTTAATAAACTGGTTGTTTTGATTAGTTTTTCTGTGAAGTTTTAAATTTCTTTCATGTAAATTATCATATTATCTGCAAGTAATGATAGTTTTACTTTTTCTTTCCCTATTTGAATTCCTTGTATGCCTTTTTCCTGTCTTATTGTTCTGGCAGGACTTCCAGTGTTAGAGAAATTTTTTTAAACTAAGTTTTGGCCTAAGCTTGCTTTCATTTCACAGTCAATATAAAGTTCGAGCTATTTTAAATTTCAGTCATTTTCCACAACATGTTATATTCAGCATTAGTTTCCATTTAAAATAAAGTGGGATTAGTCGTTAACCATATAAATGAATTGATTTGAGACATAATAATATGAAAAAGTTTAACATAAAAGATAGAAATTTATTATATCATTACTATATTTACTAATTTTTTCCCTTTGTCCTATAGCAAGCTGGCTGCCTCTTTCCAGAGCATGGAAGTCAGGAACTCTAACTTTGCTGCTTTTATTGACATCTTTACATCCAACACTTATGTGATGGTTGTGATGTCTGATCCATCCATTCGTAAGTTTAAATTTAGCTGACATAGGTTCAAAACTATGTGTTCTTTAAACTAGAGTTAATAATTTATTAGATACTATAAATCTATTTTGTAGTGAGGATGGTTGCACAAGAGTATGAATGTACTTAATGCCACTGACCTTAAATATACTTAATATACACTTAACACAGTTAAAATGGTAATTATCTTGTTAGGTATATTTTAAGAAAAATTTTAAGGCTAATGTAGCTTTTTACTTTTTATATTTATACACATGTTCATATACATATACATATATATGGAATATATACATCTATATATATGGAAGCTTAAAATATATTAGACATGTGTATTTACTTCAAAAGTCAAGTTACTAAATTTATAGTTTTTAAAGAACATAATATCTCCATGTAGTTATTTTCTATATGAACTATTAATGGAAACTATCCCATTCTAAGGCTGTAATTGGGTGAGTAATTTTATGCATTGTCTCATCTCAAATTTACACATAATTTTCTTTGTTGGATTCTAAGCAATAGATATATAATATAGTTAGAGTATAATAGCTTTACCTAATTCTGTTTGTAATGTGATTTATAATAAATGTGTGTGTGTGTGTGTGTGTGTTTGTATGGTCTTCCTACTACAGAGCTCATAATACTTGTAATTTCCTAAATAATAAGAGTGCTGTGAGAAAAGAAGGAAAATAATGCAAATGTATGGTTTATATACTATATGGTACATATTTTCAAAAGACTAATCAATCTGAATTCTGAATTATTAAATATTGTACCATTTTATAGGTCATTATATACTTCTAAGTACAATATTCCTATATTTATGTTGTGGATATAAAGGGAAGTAATCGGTGTTTGCATGTCTTATTAGTCATATCCCTTAACTATTTTACAAAAAGTTGAGCATTATTTCCAAGATGACCCTAGAAATTTAAATTATCTCTGATATGTTTACTTTTCTTACCTTAAGTTAATATTAAAATGCAACATCAAATGGGTTTTATAGCCTCAAGCCAAAAGATTTTATTAACTGATTTTGAATGTTTTCAGAATATTGAAAAATCTACTTATTCAGAAAATTAAATAATGGTTAACTTGGTACCTCCTATCCCCTGTAGGTCCTCTGCAATATGCATTAAATGATTTGTTTTAATATTCAAACATTCCTTTTACTGTCTATGCTTAATTTGTTGGGTATTTTCTTCCGCCTCAGCTTCTGCAGCTACTCTGATCAACATCCGCAATGCCAGGAAACACTTCGAAAAGCTGGAAAGAGTGGATGGACCTAAACAGTGTCTTCTTATGCGCTAACAGCCAAATGTGTCAGAAAATAAATTGAAATACTGTTTCTTAATTAATCTTAATGTATTCATATATGTAGGCTCTGAAATATTGTGATGCGACCACTTCTGTACTCCTTCCCTACTTTCCAGTTTATCTTGAATGCTATTTATTCAAATAGCCAGTGAAGAGTTAAAAGATAAGCTGTTCATGAAGTTGGGATGACATAAAGTAGGTGCTTGTATGTGTTCTGATAGCAGGTTCTTCTACTAGTGTAGGTCTTCTGATAACATGGTCCTAATAGTTGTGTTTGTCAAAGCCTTTCCCAACCTTGTGTTGTATTCCTTATGAGATAGTAATCTATGTTTGGAATATACTGTTTTCTCAGCATGCATTAAAATTATTCTTCAACTGAAAATAAACTTGCTGTTAGGAATTTAAGTGTCTATTTTAGGAATTTAAGTGTCTATTTTCCCCCTTTGTTTCTTTAACTTTTCCCTAAAAGTAAATTAATTTCTCAATTATCTTAGGGAAGGGTGATATGTTGGTTGAAATATAGCACAAAATAAAGTTGAATGGAAAGGGTAGAGCCAGATTATAATCTTAAATATAGCAGAAAAGTTTAGATAGGACATGATAGGAAGTAGGAAACAATTGTAAGATTCAGAGGTGGAGAACTATGTGAAAGGAATTTGAAATAAAGTTAACTTAGTTTTTATGGACTGATGGATAGCAGTTGGGGAAACTGTATACAGACTTGAGGTATGTTAAGAGTGTTATAGGATATAACGAGAAGGAATGAATTTTCAATAGAAGGAAAATAGAGTTTATGGTACAGAGTCTTCTTTTTTGAGTCAAGAATGGCTAATTTTATCTATTTCACTCATAATACCAAGTGGGGTGCGCCTTCATTACGTTAATCAAGTAGTGTTAAAATATTTTTCAAGTTAGAGTCCTATATGACTTCATCACCTAAGGAAAAGATGAAGCATTGTGAACTGGGAGAAAAGGAGCTTGACAGCACTAAAGTTACTCAAAGACCTTTTTCAATTTACATAAGTAGTTAACACAACACAAGAGCATGTAGGGAATCTGTAGCACAATAGACTTATCTCACTTTCCTGGTCTTATTTAATGAAGACACTCCATCCAGACCACAAGAACTTTATCTTTATCCATCTTGGCTTTGTATATTCTTTGAGATAATACTGGTTTACAAGCAATGTACAATTTTTAGGAGAATAGGTTCACATCTTCTCAGAAGGATGTTATCATACCACTCCCAATATCAAGTCACCCATACTCTTTTATCCCAGACCATTGGGACCTCTCCCTACTTCACTCCCACCCCAACTGCCCCTCACTATCTTGTAGCCTCAACTGGCAATCATTCTTCCTTCCAGTGATGTTTTGGTATAGTTTCATCAGTTCCTTTGTTATTTTCCTCTATATGTTATTTTCCTCCATATTCTCATTATGAGTAAAATCATGTAGGATTTGCATTCCTCCTGACTTATTTCACTTAGCATAATACACTACAGTTCTATCTGTATTGTCACAAATGACAAGAGCGCATACCATGTGATACAGCAACTCCTTTCTCCATATTATTATCTCTGGTTGAGAGCATTTTCACTGAACAGAAAAGAACATTTTGTCTTTTAGGTAGTCTACATTATTTAGGTAAAAAAAATGTCAAGTTTTAACCACTTGGGACTAGTTTTATCAGCAGTTATATTAACCTACAGCAGAGGAGTGTTTTTTTGTTTTGTTTTGTTCTGTTCTCAGTGGATGTTTCAGATTCTTACCCTGTTATCAGCCAGAAAAAAATTTAAAGAGTAACTGAACCAGGAGCCTGTTGTGTGACTGATATGAATCATGCTTTGAAATGTTCCTATCATCCTCAGTATCTGAGGTTGAATTTGAGAGAACTACCTAAAACTGTGCTTTTATTTTAAGATGTAGATAAATGTAGTCATTAAATTAGATAAGCATGAGAAAATAATTTGCCCTTGGTTAAACCTTTGCTCAGATTATAGTGATTGGATTTAGAGAACTATAACAGAATGAAATATTAGAAAATAAAGGTTATGCTTTGATTTAATCTTTTTTATGGTGGTGGACAGACAGTCTTTGTCATTGAAAACAAAAAAAGCATGAGAAAGGTCAAGGATGGGGCCATCTTCAAACTGAAGAAAATACTAGTGGATAGTGAAGTTGTATAATTCACTAGAGAGAGAAGAAATCAGAAATGGAGATGAGGAATTCATGATACAATCAAATCATATTTTCTTCCCTGTAGGAGGACTTACCATCGGTTCTTAAAATTGAGCATGCATCAGAATCATTTGGATGGGTATTGTTAAAACACTCTGCTGCTTCATATCCACCAGCAAGAGTAATGTTGCAATGGAAACCATTGTAGTATAAAGAGTATGGGTAGTAATTTGTTTAGAAATTGAGCTTTATCCAGTTTTCACCAGCATTGTTTGCTAACTCCTAAGATATGAAAAATTAGGTGGGTGTTTGAATGAAGACAGTGCTGTAAGTTTTGTCTTTCATCACAAGAACCTTACAAGTACTGTCACCATCCCACTTTATTAGGTGAGGAAACAACACAGAGAAAATAAGAACTTACTCACAGTTATGCAGTAGTGATAAATATGATAATAGAATTCAGTTAATCTAATTCCAGAGATGTGCCCTGAACTTTAACCTTGAATTTTTATGGCCTCCATGCATTCAAGAGCACTGAGTTGCCGTATGTGAGGTGTGTCCAGGTGTGGTACATAGCTATGTTATTACAACTCTATTTACAACTTTAGACATAATAAAACAAATGTTTATGACCCTATCTTATACCATTATTCACTGGGGATTTGATACAAGAAGCTTCACTACAGTAGACAGTGAAAAGCATAGTAAACAAACCCATAAGAATCATATTTAATATTGAAAAATTGAAAAAAAAATTTCTTTCCCCTGAGATCAGGGAAAAGACAAGTGATGTTCACGTACACCATTACTATTTAGGATAATACTGGAAGTCTTAAAACAATTAGCCAACATTGGATTATATAAAAGGAATCTAAATTGGAAAAGTAATTTGATCATGATTTGCACATGAGATAACAATATATATAGGAAACCCTAAGCTCTCAGTATAGATCTAGATATGTGTGTGTGTGTGTGTATAATTAAGTTGCATTTCATCACACAGAGAAAGAACTGGGAGACAAATAAATCAGTATGAGTCCCATTTATAATTGCTTAAAAAATACCTATGAATAAACTTACCAAAAGAGGTAAAAATCTAAACAAAAAAAATAAGACATTGTTTAACAACTAGAAGACACAAGGATTTGAAGAATTAACTGTTAATGGCCATAATTCACAAAGTAATATACAGATTCCATGAAATCCTTATAAAAGCTTCATTGGCAGTCTTCAAAGAATAGAACAAACATAACATTAAATGTGGAACCATAACAGAACCCAAATGACCAAAACAATCCAGATGAAATAGAATGGAGTTGTTACATTCCAGGCTTGATAATACACGGCTATTTTCATCAAAACAGTATGCAATTGTAATAAAAATAAAAAATTGAACAGAATAGTCAAGGAATAGCCCCTCACTTATAGGTCAGTTAATTTATGACAAAAGAGAAGAGTATACATTAGAGAAAGGAAAAATATTTTCCTTTCCAGCCATATATAAAAGAACGAAACTATAACACAATACCATGTTGCATAAAAATTAACTCAAAGTGGACCAAAGTAATTTGGTTATAAGACCTGAAACCATGAAATACATAGAAGAAAGTACAGGCAATTCATTACATCATCTTCAGTGATATATTTGAGATATTTAATCAAATAGCAAGGGAAAGAAAAGCAAAATAAACAATGAAACTACATCAAACTAAAATGCCTTTGCATAGCAAAAGAAATTATCATAACCACCAGTTCAGAGCAAGTAGGAGGGTTCACACCCATCACAGAAGCCACTAATACCACTAAAGCCCCCCAAGACAGGAGTCAGGTGTGTATGCAGGCCTGTGTAGGCAATCCTGTGGCCCAGTGCATTTGGAAGAGGACTCACCAAGCATGGAAATCACTGCCAGAGAAACTCACAAGGTAGGAGCTGAAACCCCCAAGGCATTACCAAGTCATATGTGAATGTGTAAGACCACCCACCAGTCCAGTGTATTAAAGGAGCCATACATTGCAGAAACCTCATCACAGGAAAGAAAAATAAGGGAGAGAAATACATATAAAAGAAGTGTCAACGTAAGCCCACATGGGGATTTCACACCACAGAACAAATCTTCAGAACCTAGTCACAAAAAATACAGAAAATTGTCCTTACTATCACATTTCAAAATGTCCATGATAAAGAAATTTAAGGAAATGGATGGAAATTCAGAAAAACAAATGCACTAAGAATATAATCAACAAATTGAAGATCAAAATTGAAGTTTAGAACATACCTCAACATGATAAAAGCCATCTTTATAAGCCCACAGCCAATATTATCCTAAACGGAGAAAAGCTGAAAGCCTTTCCTTTGAGATCAGGAACAAGACAAGGGTGTCCACTATCACCACTGCTCTTCAACATAACACTGGAAGTTCTAGCCAGAGCA